GCTACATCGCGAGATCCACTTTAATCGAAAATCAAAGTAAAACTCACTTTTGCTAATTTACATATCCCTGGTATTTGTTTTGACATGACTGAAATTTTATTTAATTTTTATTGGTATTTATTATTCATTTTACATTTATTCATTTAGCTGATGCTTTTATCCAAAGCGACTTACAATTGCTATACATGTCAGAGGTCGCACGCCTCTGGAGCAACTAGGGGTTAAGTGTCTTGCTCAGGGACACACTGGTGTCTCACAGTGGATTCAAACCCGGGTCTCTCACGCCAAAGTCATGTGTCTTATCCACTGTACCATCACCACCCATTTTATTTATTTTGTGACAGTACCCCCTACATCAATGAGAATATTTGGTATTAACTGACAATCTAACTTCTGATTGGTGCAATATCTGTGTGGGTGGGCACTGAAAATAATTTGTAATGTAACTTCAGCTCCAACTGCCACACCAGGGGCCACTGTTTTTGCCTCATCTGTGATATCAGCACTTCGTATGTTGATCTGTGAATCCGTATTTAACCCCTCGTTGTGATCTGAATCACAGGTTATCATACGCTGTGGGGAGGATACAGGGCCTGTTTCAAAACCAATTCTGCATCCGACCGATGAAAGAGACGGCTAACACTTTCTAGAACCGCACGTTCTGATGACGTAGCTGTTGTTAAAATAAAATTAAAAATTTATGTTTAGTGGAAAGCAGTACCATAGCTTCCACTTTCCCAGTAGAATATACACTTAACAGCACAACGGGTCCTCCTCAGTGTTGCATGTTGTAAAGGAACAGACGAATTACATAACTGGCTTTAGTGTTTTCGTGCCGTTGTTACCTGGATGGCGCCGTCCTCTGTGCAATCTGAGCCGACCTCAGTGATGCTGTGCTGAAGTCGGTACAGCTTTGGTTTGTCCCGCGAGTCAGACCCATCTAGACACATACAAATACTCACATTTAGCCCTGGGGAGGATGGTCCTCGCGTCAAACTTAGATTGAAAACAAGAAGTACTGTAGTATGTACGTTCTACCTCACACACTCGTACTGAGAAACCATTCATCAGTTTAACAGAAAGTGGAAGTCTGGGTCTATTCCTTTTACTTTTCCAGACTCCTCAGTAAATTATTCAGATCAAATCTGACATCAGAGTACAAATAGCTAGATATTTATTGTGTAAATAAATGGTTTTAAAATCCAATGTTATATTCTCACTATGTTTGCTATTATGTCAAATAATTACCAGAAGGCTGTAGCTAAGTACTGTTGTCATTCAAATCTATTTTGTGGACATTTAGTCCACACTCACTACGCAAAAAGCTGGACAACGTTGGTTGAAGATACTTGAAGACGTTTCCCCTCTCATCCAACAGGCTTCTTCTCTTCTTCAGTTCTAGATGGTTTCTCTACTTTTGTGTAAATGGCTATTTTCACTTTCTTTTAAACGATCTTTCCTCCCTATCCAGAATATGAGCATTGTTGTCATAGAAAACAGGGACACTCTTTCAACAAATGGTTTGACAGAGGAGTGAAAGAAGCCATTTAGACCATTGTAGATAAACCATTTCTCAACAGGGGAGGAGGTCTGCAACACCACTTATCCCCCCACCTACACTGCTGTCCTTTTATCCCTTCCCAGGAGACTGAACACTCACACTTGGCCTCATGTGACAATACCAACAACGGTCGTTCAGGCCTCAGATAACGCTTACGACTTACATTAAAACAGCCACGAGCACAAACGAACCTACTGGTATCCATCACCTTGATAATGAGCCCACGGAGGTAAAATGCCTAAGTAAAGTGACCAAGCCTCTTGGTTGAGAGGTGAAACGTCTTTAAGCATCTTCAGCCAAGTCCAATTGCCCTTGATTTTAACCTTCCTTGGATAACCATGACCAGGACAAGTGAGAATCAGACACAAATACTTTTCCATACTTTTCAATTCTATTTTCTACTTATCCAGACCTGGAAATTACTAAAATGAAATTCAATATTTTTCCATACTGCATAGTAACCCTGTGGACTAAAAAGGGATAAACACTGCTAATGTGGCAAATAATCTGGGCGGCTGATGGGACTGCAGAGCTCATATTGATTAGTAAACAGGAGTTTAGTAAAAGCAAAGCGGGCATATTAGTTCACTAAAGGAAAAAGGGAAACATGGGTATGTGTATAAGAAAGCTAATATAACAAGGCTACCAAGAAAGCCTGGCAATTTACAGTAGTATAAAAAGACTTAAGAAATAGCCAACGTGCATTTCCCTCCAAAATTGTATAAGCTTTCATCAACTGGTTAATAGACTGAATGAGTAATCTTACTATAAAAACTACTTGAGAATGTCTTTTTTGTACAGATATTTATTCTGAAACTACACCTGTTCTTTTTTATTCAGATATAGTTCCGACATTTTGAGAAATACAGATATTTGTTTTCTTGCTGAGAGTTAGAAGACAATTTATACAAATCTTCACGTCTGTACGGTAAAAATGAGCTAAAGCCAGCGGCTGGTTGGCTTATCTTAGCCTAGCGTAGGGTGGATTTTGCAGCCTTGGACAGAGCCAGGCTACCACTCTTTGTTTTAGGCTACACTAACTTGCTGCAGCTTTTTATTTATCGTACAGACAAGAGTGGTAATAAAACTGCTAATCCAAATCCCAATCCAAAATATCAATCTATTCCTTTAAACTGACATAATAAAAAGGAATTAAAGTCTTAAATCTAAACTGCTAAAAGCTGTGGTGAGCACTAAAGTAAAAGGAAACTGACCTATGCAGTAATCCTGCTAAGTACAACACAGACATACATTTAAGGAGGGGAATTTGTTTGGTCATTATCGGTTATAGGAGCGTGGGTAGGGGGGTCACAATGCCATCGGCCACTGCAACAGACACAGAGGAGTTGTGGTGGGTCTTTACCTTCATGGTGCCGATAGGCGTAGTAGGCATAGTGATTCCCTCGCCCTGGGCAAACAGGCAGGCAGGTGCAGAGGTAGAAGGACACATGCACAAGGCCCCAACACACACACACACACACACACACACCATGCCATAAGAAGGTGGGAAAGAAAACAGAAGACACAGCAGAGGGTGAAAATGCAGCAAGGAGGAAAAAATGCAGCATTACCTTGTTAACCCATTAATTGCATGGAGGCATACAAACACACACAAACACACAGAATATTTCTAAGGGCCTTTCACCATCTACATTAATGATACAATGCAAAAATAGTTTTACCAGACATTAAGTCCTAATGCTAAACAATTTAAAGTAATAATTCACTTTAAAAAACAGGTCATTGTCTGAAACGGACATTAACATGTCAAAATAGCAAACACCAAGTAATAGATCTGCTCATTACTTGTACCACCGTTCTAAATAAGTACGATAGATTAAACTGCAGGTAACCAAAGCAGCTTGTTAGGATAACTAACTGAAATGGCTAGCTAGAAAATATTAAATATTTTTGCATATCAGGAGACCTTGGAATATATTAATGCACATATGTTACATCTCTTGGCATCTTGGATGTCAAATATTAGCGTTAAAGAGCTAAGTAATATTTTACCAATACAACTGTTTTGATTTTGAGTAATTTTAGCATGTGTTGCTATTTTAAGGAACCAGGACCTGGCTAATATATGAAACCTCATAGATCATTTCATCTCAAGCCTAATACGTGCAAATATTGAAATCTAAATTGTTCCTGTACTTTTATCCTTGATAACCAAACAGACACTCATACACACATAGGCCCAGCACCCATTATTTCGGAGAGCCACCAAATCAATTCTCCATCTTGGCTGTTGTCCATAGACAGTGACCCATCAATCTGACAGTGGATGAAGTAGATGTGTTAGTACAGTATATTCCTGGGTCAGACCCACTGGATTCCCAATACCATTTCAGCATTATGGATCAAACCAGTTTGGTGCTGAAAAGTTCTTGGGTTACCAGCAGGCCAGACAAGTTAATGGCATGAGGCATATGAAGTTAAAGAGAGAGGGATCAGTAGCAAGAAACAAGCTGTTACGGCTGGAAAATTTCACATTTAGCAAAACTCAGGTGAGGTTTGTTTCCCAAAATGCTCCCATAGGTTTTTCCACTATCACTATATCCATACTGGGATTTAAACAGCAGTCCAGGAGTTTAGTTGTAGCAACTTACCTTTTGTTGTACTCCATGTGCCTCAACCTGCCAAACCGACTTCTAATTCAAACAGTGATTTCCTCCATTTCCCACAATGCCTTTTGAAAACCTCCAAAGTCAACCTTCCATTGTCCATCAGAGATCGTACAAATATAAACTTTTTCAACTTCTGATGTTTATGTTTAGATCACTAAGCCATTATCTCCTTTTTAAATCATCATCATATCATGAATTTAAAATAAACCTAAAACTTCAAGATACATCAAAATCACAAGGTGTGTTTTTTTGAGTTTGTTAAACGTTTTATGGTGAATTTTTCCCATTGAAATAATGGATTCTGGCATGTCTATCTTAGTCTGTGTTAAAATGTGTCACTATTTACACTTGCTCTGGTGCAGGATTTGATGCAGATACATTTTTGTTCGTCAGTTGAACTCCGCATTTGATTGTTGATACAGATATTTCTGTACTTCAAGCTAAAAAGAGTTCATTCTTATCTGCATATAACATATATCATCTTCCTTACATCTTGCTGAAATGCTGAATATTCCCCTCACAATTAATTCTTTGATGCTAGCGGATACCTGCCTGAAGTGAAAATTATGCAATTAATACTAGAAATGTAAGTAAAGTATTTTCTTAAGTATTTTATTTAACTCTTTAAAATTTATTTTATCATGTTTTATTTTCCATTTCTCCCTTTTAAAAATGTTTTAAATTTGTTTTTTTTTCTCCCCCAATTTCCCTTTGTTGCTTTTATGTTTTATGTAAAGCACTTTGAATTGCCTTGTTGTTGAAATGTGCTTTACAAATAAGCTTGCCTTGCCTTAAAAAAAGCTTTAAGGTAACTGATGCATTGACTAAGTGCTTCTTTTGTGGCATGTAATACTGCAACATGAAGGATTCAGAATGAAGCATACACCATCATCCACAGCTATCTCTCGGAGCCGTCTACAATATAGATTTCAGCGATTCCTGACCTCCTGCTATGGCTTTTATATACACTGAGGAAATCCTGTGCTGGTAGGAACTGAAACCACAGCACAGGTGGGATCCATGAAGTAGTCACATGTGATTAACTCACCTGGTTATTACCATGTTATTTACTATGGTGTTTGCTGTAGCTACACAGCTGCCTGTTGGCTCCTACCTGTCATGACAACAGTGTTCATCAGCTGCTACTACTTCTACTACCGTTACTGATAAAAGTACCACTGACTGATACCAGATCCAAAACATTATGGTGTATGTGTGTTTTGTGGTTTTACCTGGGCTCAGCTCCACCAGGTAAGGCAGTTTTTCCGGGGGCAGGGAACTGCTGCTGTCCTTCCCTCGCAGGCCCTTGTCATCTATTTTCCTTCCCTTCCTCCCCTGGTAGTCTGGGGGTCTTTTCTTCAGCTGGAACACTAGCGCTCCTGACAAATGACAAACGTCCTGTTAACAAAGCTGTAATGACTGTAAGGTAGCAGGAGGGGGCGGTAGCGACCAAGAAAGGCGTGAAAAAGAAGCTCATTGTAAATTTAGTATAACAGTGTGTGTACGTGCATGGTGTGTGTGTGTGACCACAAATCTGTGTGTATTACCTCTGTCAGCAGGCCAGTCCCTGAAGATCTGCAGTGGACACTCTGTATCATCCAGGATCGCCTCCTTGCCCGACTTGTCTTCTTGCTGTACATAAAACAAGATCAACCAGATGAGCAACTTAATATACCAAAGCCCACCAATGACACGAGCACCTTTTAATTACCACAGAGGGCACAAGAACACAGATCTTCCTAACACTTCCTAAACTGGACCATTAAATGTTTTTCATGTCCAGAAGGTCCAGCACCTCCATTAACTGAAGTATCTAAGATATTATACGAAAGTGAGTGATCTTAATTTACCACATTAGATGAAATATGTATTGGATTTTAACTGTTGGGACTCCCTTGTTGTAGAACATTCATTTTTAAGTTGTTGTGTGGAGCCATTAACCAGTATAAGAACCATTTTTGAGATCAAAGAACAGTGCTGTTCTACCAAAGGTTTACTTTTAATACTGAAATTATTCTGTTCACTGGCTTAATAAATATTAAATATTGTAATTTTGTTTTATTTCTTTAAAGAATATCACAGCTGCCCTACATATCTTCATCTCAGTAAACATCCCCCCCCGAACATAAACACACTAGATGACATGCTACTGGCTAGTATACTAGTGCATATTTCTCCTGCTCACTAACCTAATGGACTTTCCCTGTGCCTTAGTCTCATCAGCAAATTGCAACTGACTATCAACAGCGTGTGTGCTCGCGTGTGTGCTCGCGTGCGCGCGCGTGTGTTGTCTCTGGAGGGTCTTCCACTGTATTGGCTGTGGGAGCAGCAGTTATTTCATATGATTGGCCATCGCCACAGTCCATCGGAGAGGACAGATATGGGAGAGGCTGTGGAGAGTGCAGCCAAGTTCACCGTCATAGCCACACACACACACACACACACACACACACACAGAGCATCTGCTGCTGCTATAGCACTCAGTCTGAAAGCAATTGAATTGCATTCCTCCCAAAGGTTTTAGTGCCAAGTAGCATTTTGTTTCAATCTGCCAGTCCGGTGAAGAGTATGAGCATTTGTGTGTTTTTGTGTTTTTGTGTGTGTGCGCATGTGAGTGTGTGTGCATGTGACCATGACCTTGGCTGTCCTCTGCACAGACTCTTAGAAGGATGATGGAGGTGTTTATTGATGAGATAGGAAGATATATGTTGTGTTTAGCAGAGAACCAGGAGGAGGCAGGTTTTAAGCAGTGGGCGGCAGTATACTAAAAAATAAATTCACTCTGAATTTGGTGTATATAATCAAATTAGGGGGCGGCTGCGGCTCAGGAGGCAGAGCGGGAAGGTCGGCGGTTCAATCCCTGGCTCCCCCTGGTTGCGTGTCGAAGTGTCCTTGGGCAAGATTCTGAACCCCGAATTGCCCCTGGTGGCTCTTCCGCCAGTGTATGTATGTGTGTGAATGTTAGTTTCCGTTTGAGCACTTAGGCTCAGTGTATCAATGTGAGTGAATGGTGAATGCAGATGTAGTGTAAAAGCACTCTGAGTGGTCGAAAAAGACTAGAAAGGCGCTATACAAATACGGAGCATTTACATTTACGACAAATAAGGTGCTGCGATCGAATATGAGGATACCATTAAACAGAAGTCACATGGAGTATCTACTGAAGCTGGAGGAGCCAGAAAGTCACACAAAAAGGACATAACTTGCATATTCCTCAAAGGTAGAAGTTATACTAACACTAGTTTAAACTAGTTTTTTTACTTTGACAGGAACAGACCAAATTTTAAGTGAGGTGTGCTTATTGTGTTTAGCGTTGGATTAGATGATGGGGTCCTCAAAGGTAAACAGTGAAGGAGTTGTAGTAAAATAAGCATTGTTACCCGGGCGATGCAGTACTCTCTGGGGTTCTCCTTCTCCAGCCCGTACTTCTCCAGCGCCTCCACCACTGCAAAGTCAGCCGTGTCTCTTGTCGAGAGCAGGATGGTCTTATACGGGATGTTGGGCTTCAGACTGTCAGCGTATATCCGCAAAGTGCCTCCTGTGGGAAAGTACATTACACTACGTGTCACATTCCACCCATTCACACACGCATTTATACACTGATAGCACAGGAGGCCATGAAAGGTGCCAACTGCTCAAACACACACTGATGGGTGCAATTTAAGGTTCAGTATCAAGTCCACTTCAATATGCAGACTGCAGGAGCCAGGGGTCAAACCACCGATGCCAACTTGAATGTACGACGTGTGTATAGATGGTCGGGAATGATCGTAGTGCTCATTAAATGTGTATCATGTGTCGCACTAGCTGTGTGACCGTGACGTGTCAACTAGAAAATGATCACCTTTGAAAATCCCACAAGGGAGTCTTCAGCAAAGCAAACAGGATTTTCAGAAGCATTACATAAAGTGAGCTCGTTTAAAATAGCACTTTCTGCTGGGAGAACGTCATTGTCTACCCACAAGCCATCCTGTTCCACAGTGTGTGTGTGTCAACCGTATGTGGACAGTGGTTAAAGCTGTTTTTAGAGACAGCTCACTGGTCCATCTGTCTGTCTGGCAGAGTGGTTAGGTAATGCTTGACTCACACACTGAACCAGCAAGCATGTTTGTTTCATTCATTCAACATGTACGCATGTCTTTTTGTATGTGTAAACATGTCAGTGTGAGACGTTCCCACAACATACGGACTTCTGTAGACCAGCTGATGTAAACATGATCACTGATGTTCAGTTACGATGCATGTTACATTTGAATATTGTATTAAAAATACAAAATATGAATATATAATTTCAATTGTATTTAGACCCTTTACTCATTACTTTGTTTAAGCACTACTGTTAGTGATTACAGCTGCAGAACACCTCTGCCGGCTGTTTCTTGAAGTCCTCCTTGCAAATATCTCAAGCTCCGTCACTCTGGATAAGCAGCGGCAGTGAACTGTGATTTTCACGTCGCTCTACAGGTTCTCTCTGGGGTTCACGTCAGGTCTTCTTTAAGCCACAAGAAGAAAGTCCAACTTGTTCTAAGAAGAATCCAGCTCGCGTTGCCTGAAGACCTCTCCATTTTCCTCTCATACATGACCAAGGCAGTTGTGTTTTACCTTCTCTTTGAGGTTTATTGGTGGTTGGCAAACAACTGATTTTGTTTCCAATTCGCAACCTCTACTTTTTAACGTAGCCAATATTGTCAACTTCTAATGAAACTACGCTTGAACTAGCTTATTAGCTCCAAACCAGTTGATTGAAACTCAATTTGCATTTTCTGTGTTTTCTCTTTTTTTTCAACATTTCAAAAGGTTTGCTTCATATTGGCTTGACACTTAGTTGGAAATAAGGCTAATGAAACCCATCAAGCTCCTGGGAATGTTTCGTCAAACCGTTAAATAGATCATGCATGACTGGATGATCAGAGCTCAAGGTGGGTTTGAGCAAGTCAACAAACATTTAAAGTACCCGAGTCCGGCCTCCCATCACTGCTCATGAACTCCTGCATGCGTTTCTCCAGTTTCTGCTGGCGTCTCCTCTTCATCACCACCTCTGGGTTGGAGATTGTCCTGGTAAAGCTGGTCTCAGGCATGTCCTTGTAAACCTCTGCCGCCAGACGGCTGTTTTCCCTAAACCACAACATGAGGGAGATGAATGAATGAGGAGAAGACAGAATAAATGGGGGGGGGGGTCAAAGTTTAAATTAATATTCTTTCCTCTTTTGGAAACACAAAAAAAAAGAAAAAAAAAAAAAAACCCACAAGATCCTCTCCGAGGACAGAGAGGATGTAAGGGCAGGACAGTAAGACGGATGACTGAGTGTGTGTCTTTACCCGTCCTCCCGGTTGAGCGCCTGCTCGTCTCCATCAGGGATCCGGGCGAACTCCTTCTCCTTCTTCTTTTCCTTCTTCTTCTCCTTCTTGGACAAAGTCCTCTTGAAGTTTTGGATCACTCCATCCTTCTCCTTCTCCGGACCATTACTCTGACTCTTCTGGTAGAAAAGGGAAGAAGAATGAGTGAATGAGGCCCTTTTTTAAGAGACAATGAGGAGCAGGTTGCTGCAGTTCGTAATGACTCGTTTCTGAATGAATAAATAAATTAGGAAACTGAATGAGGAAAAGAAGATCAAGGACATATTTTCCTCAGCCATTTTACAAAGTTAGATCTGATCAAGTCAAGTGTGATGTGACTTTATTTATTTACTTCTACTTCAGTTAGAGACATTTAAAAGAAGGCTTTCTGACAGACCACAAATTAAGTAAGGGCAAAATGATTAAAATAAGAGAATGTATTATAGAAATAAATATAGTCAATGTGTTTGTTTAAACTGGGGAAAAACCAAACACTTATATTTAATCAATACACTGCATTCTGGACTATTGACTCAACTGTGTCCATTTTTCACGGTGTAAGTGTATTACAAAAATGGTCTTAGTAAAACTTAGTTGTTTTTTTTTGATTGCTCAAACATTTTTAGCAATCAAATGTTATTGTATCTGTGCTGAAAATACTTCAACAAACAAAGTTTGGATTTGTCCAGTTATCCACAAGAAAAACACAAACAATGTCTCCAGTGTGTCGGCGGTAGCCTAAGGTGCTTTTTTTTCTTTCATCGGTGATGGATGGATGAACAGATGAGTCAGCTAACTAGTAAAGCAACTTGTTAATAGTCGAACAGGTTAACAGACAACAGATAGAGTGGCTGACCTTGGGAAGGATGTCGTTCTCATTCTTCAGGACAAAGCGTCCTTCTCTGTCGTCTTTGTTCCAGTTCAGCTGAACAACAAGAGGCTTCTCATCCAGGTCTAGCTGACGCTCTTCTAACACACACACACACACACACACACACACCAGTTCATCTAAGTCAACTACATCAAATTATTATTATTCATGAAACATTAGTTAAATTGTTCAGACTCTTCAACCCCTCTATGGGACTCACCGCCACTGACATGGACCTCATACAGAGAATATCTTGGAGAAGAGAGCATCCTCATGTCTGGTCTGAACTTCTCAGCTAACGTCTCAATGACATCCTGCGTTGTCGCTGTGCTGGACACTCTGATGCACTTTGTGGCGAAGTTACCGGCAACCCGGTCCTGGAAGTAGAACCGCATCACGCCATGGAACTCCAAGTCCTGTTCAACAGACATAGTGAGAAAGAGAGTCCATAATCTGTTTAGGTCCATGCATACATTCGGCATGTTAATGTTTACAGGCAAACTATATCCCATTCATTGTGAATATGATCAGCGTTAAAGAAGACAGTTCATTCATATCAAGCAAACTGATTAAAATGCTCTTTTTTTTCACATTATAAAAACACTGAAAGCAGTTTTTATTAGTGCAGGACTGTGCAGTAAGTTGGCTGTTCAGCAGGATTGGAGAGAAGCACCACTGGCTGAGAGCCAGCAAGAGAAGCAGTGCACTGTAATTTATGAAGAACTGGTTTAAATTATAGGGAAAATATGCAATTGATACACTTCCAATTAATTACTTCCAGTTACTTCAGTTTAATGCAGCTTTTACTTTCAGGAAATTCCTATTTTGTACGTATATTAGTACCAAATGGCATAGTTCTTTCCAGGAAACTTCCTGACCTAGTCTAAGGAAACCTCTCTCACTCTCTCTCTCTCCCTCCACACAAACAAAATAAATACAGGCTCAAACACAGCCAGTGCTGGATGTAAAGCGCCTGGCTGATATTGACACCTGGGGCTATCTACATTGTATGTGTATGCAAGCACAACTCTATTACCTACATGTTGACATTTGTTTATGGGCAAAGAATTCTACGGAACAAGAATGTTTTACACAGCCAGTTTTGATATAGCTGTATGTAAGGCAGTGCTGACAAAGCACAACTGTAGCTTGCAGCCCCGTGAGCGGGCATTTCCATTTGTTAAGGTTCAGCTGTGAAACTGGCCTCATATTTTATTTTAACTGCCATTAAAAAAAGGTCTTAGAAAGCCTTGCAGACATTAGAAAGCCATTACGTGCTATTCCTCAAATAATAAAATTAAGACATCTCTTTTTTAGCAAAAAAAAACAAATCTAAAGCAGGACAGAAACTGTCCTGTTCAAACCCCAGTTAAGTCACACTGGATGCTAAACTATCAAAATTATATGGAAGCAACAATGTATAAAATAACTGAAACACAGCAACAATGAGGCAATACAACAGCACAATCTATATTTTTGAAACTCTCTCAGAATTAAATAAAAACACTTAAAAAATCTGAATGCTACAAAATTTAAAGTAGCATTCATAGCAGATTAATAACAGCAGAGTATTGTTATTGACTGTGTTCATGGTATTGCGCCGTTCCCCTGAATAAAAAACTATGACTATAACTGATGGTCCTGTGAGGTTGTTGTGCCCTTTTCCTTTAAAAAAGGTCTGTAAGGTTTGATTTCATAATAATGTGTTCTTGTTCATGACGTTAGAAGAGGATGTTGTGCCTTCAACAACGGCTGCAGGAAAACCCTGACTGTGTTTCTTCTACAATGTAGGTATCAAGATACCAACAAAGCAATTTTGAATTGGAATTTTAAAGAGAAACCTTGCCAGTATCTAAGAAGGGTAGACAACTGGCTAAACGGCTTTCTAAAGTGACAGATCGAGAGTGTGAGTGTGTTGCATCTGAGACTGAGGAGTATGAGCTGGGTGATTTGAGGCAAAGGTTTAAACTAGATTTAACTGGATTAATTTTACACTATTTAAGTCTGTTTGGGGCCTCCCTTTCAAATACATTCACATAGTTGGGAGGAGAAAATAAATCTCCTTCTCACCCATTACCTCCCCCTTCCCTTCCCATGTTTGATAGAGACACAGCCAGGCAGAGTGGAAACACTGAGCATAGTTTCGATAGGCAAGGGTGGAGCCGGGAGAGAGAGAGAGAGAGAGAGAGAGAGAGAGAGAGACTGTGAGTGTGTGTTGTGATTTACTGCTGGAATGTGGGTCATTGAGGTTTGCTGTTGTCAAGCTTGTGTAACCATTGTTAACCGTTTCTGCAGAGATACAAGTCCACTTGGGTTCAAACAAAGCCCGGCTAAGACCCGACAGTGATAATTAACACACTGCCCAGAATACAACCTTTTGGTTGTTGGGAATGGACAACCAAATGTAGTTCACATCCAGTACAACAGCCATATTCCCCCATACCTCCAAGACATGGTACAGTCCTCCAGACCCATGCCTCCAGGTTATGATCCATACCCACACCCCCATGTTCAAGCACTGGTCCAGTCTTACAGACCATAGCCAACAATGGAAACTCCATAACTCAATCTCATGGTCCAGTCCTACACAGATATTTAATTAGTTAAATGGTTAATTAGGAATAGGGGGTGAAAAAAAAAAAAAAAAACAAACTCGTGACTAGTCGACAGATTAGTCGACTACAAAAATAATCATTAGTTGCAGCTCTCTATGCATCCAGGCCCTACCTTCAGACCATAATTCAGAACTACAAATGCATGATGTATTTCTGATAAGATGTACATAAGACACAGAATTTGATGCATAATGTAACTTTGACAAGTTTGCTTCGTCAATAGAGCCGTTGAGTTGTTCAGTCTATAAAATGTCAGAAAATGGTGGAAAATGTCATTCAGTGTTTATCATAGCCCAAGATGACTTCCTAAATGTCTTGTCCAAAACCCAAGGAAAATTCAGTTTATTGTCATAGAGGAGTAAAGAAACCAAAGCATATTCACTGACAACTAATCGATTATTAGATTAAGCTTTGTAGCTATTTAGTACATCTATATTAATACATTAATGTTCTGGCAATTTAAGACGACATTAGACTACAACATAAAAACCTTTAGAATAAATAAATGCCACCATTAAAATCTTACAAGGCTGCATGAGTGAACCATTGGAAGTGTTCTTCAATCTTGTATCCTTGAAGTAGTGCGAATAGTTTATAGATTAACAATTACCTACAACAACCGCTACTGTGAGGAGTCCTTAGGATATTTCGCAGAACAACAAAAGACAAAACAACAGAATGTGATTGTGAAGGTTGTGATTTTTTTTTTAAAGCTACATGAACAACAATTCCATTATGTACAGTACATAAGGATCAAAAACCTTGGTAAGTCTAAGGATTTTTATTTTTTTTTTATTGATGTTGCTTCATTTCACAAAATAAAAATAATGAAAATCTTAAAAAGACAAGAAACCTCCGACACCATTTTAAGCTGCTTGTTTATTTAAATCTTTTTTGAGCATGTCAGCTAAATGATCAAACTGCAAAATGTGAGGGCAAAACAAGAGCAAGCTATTCAGTTCATCTTTTCTGCAGTGTGAGTGATACCTGTGACTAAAGGCAAGACAGGAATATTTATGACACACACATAAAGTAGGGTAACACAGTGGATAGCTGTTCTCAGCTAAAACCTGATGGAGGGTTGGGAGAGAGGAAACACACTGTATATATTAGCGATAAACAGATTTATTGATATTGATTGGCCTAATATTTATGTCTGTCATTAAATGTTTCAGTGATTTACTCTTTGATAACCCCTGATAGAAATGTATTTAATCCAAGACAGTAAGTCCAGTCAGTAAGTAAGCCATAATTCCTCTTATTGTAGATATAATGTATCCGCGTAAACGATAAGAGTACAGAAATGCCAAATATGTGTTTGAGGTTTGTCTCTATTACTGTACATAGTTTGTCCATTTGAAAGCACTGACAAGTTTATTTTTCAACAGTTAAGAGTCCCATTCTGTACATGTTAATCACAACCCTTTAAAATACAAATTTAAGGAATCCTTTCATTAAAAAAAAAAAGAATATTGACAAATATCTTATCAATGTTTTAAACTCAGTATAAAATATCAGTATCAGCATCATGCTCAAAAACTAGCATTTAGAAGCAGCTTATAGTTTTTTGTTTCACTTTTTTTTTCAGTGCACACACAGAACAGACTGCCAGCGGACCATGTCTTGACGTATATTGGATAGACCTGCAACGATTAGTCGATCTAAAAAAATTATACAAATATTTTGATAAGAAAGAATATGATTTATCGTTTATTTATAAATGTTAATGAAGAGTCTTGGCTGGTTGGACAGAAAAGGCGATTTGAAGAAAATTGTTGTTATGAGCATTTATTACAATTTCTTAACATTTCATAGACTAAACGATTAATAGTAGTAGTGAGACAGTGTATGTAAAATGTGAGAGATACCCCTAACCCATCTCACTTTCTGACTAACACTTCAGAGCCAAAGGTCTTCAAGGAGAGAGGTCGGAGGTCACGTCTGTGTTCGTATGATTCACTCTCTGGCTGAAAAAAATACAGCTCCCACCTGGTGCCTGTCTCTCATATATGCGCGCGCACGTGCACATGCACGTTTTTCCGGGAGGTGAAAGTGGTGGAAACCTAAAGCAGCTTGTGAAGCAGCAAATTCATTTAGGACTGGATTGAATTTGAGGTGAGTTTCACTGCAATGTACAAAAAATAGAAATATAAATCTGAAAGAACAAATTAGTTTTAATATTTACAGTTTCATTAACACCTCTTCCTGGGTTTTTACTGAGTAACTTAACACCTCATAACAGTGGCATGTTGGAATGTAGAGACACAGGAAGGAACTGGAAATAGTATTCACCAACCATTAAGAAACCGTCACATAAATCACTTTGGTGATAACGTACACTACACAGTAGTGTTCATCCTTAACGTCAGAACAAAGAAATATATAGAGTCAATGTTAGCACAGGAGTACACTGTGCAGTTTGTATATCTGTATATCCTCATAAAGCTTTAAATTCAACATAAGCACTGTAACATTAAGACACTATGAGGCTTGACTGAGTAACACATATGCTTTCATATAACTAATATATAGTACAAAGTATTTTTTACAAACGTGGAGTCCAGGTATCTATGTCAAATACAGTGAGGGTATAAATCCGGATCCAGAAAGGCTGGGGGAAACATAAAGGGCAACTGCAAGCTGCTAGCTTGCAAAAAGGGAAAATGTTTATTAAAGCTTCAGGTGTGCACACAAGACAAATAAAATGCTGCCTGAGGTGAAGCACTGAGCTCGAAACATGCTTGTCTTTTGCTCTGTGTGCACTTTTGTTGACACATCCTCATCAGAAGCTTTTGCAAGCAAGGAGT